TAAGTAAGTAAGTAAGTAAGTAAGTAAGTAAGTAAGTAAGTAAGTAAGTAAGTAATCTAGAATATCACAGATTAGTTGCCCTGGTTCTTCAGTTGACAATTTGTCATCTGGAGTAGGTCTAGCTCAAGATTTGTACTTGGCAATATTGACAGACAACATGATGCCTTTTTGAGGCATCTTAGATTGATCGTGGGATAACACCCTTCACTGTGTTTGAAGGCAACAGACATGCATTGGAGTATAGACTGGGCTATATTGTATAGATAGCTTGGTGTCTAATATCTCACTGCTACTTAATACCACTCCCATATGCTTGCTTTTTGCCTTTCAGAGAAATGCTGTATGGTGAGAACTGGTGTTGTTAGATCCAATTCTTTTCCTATTCACTTGTACCTCATTATCAGCCTAATTGGTAAGATGACTTAAAAGTTAGCTGGTGAAATGAGTCAAATCACCACTGCCCATTCAGGACAATGGGGGAAAAGGGGGAATAATGTTTGTTGTCACTCATACAGCATCTTCCATCTGAACATGATGCTTTAAGTTAGTGCTGACTCTTAACAACCACACAGGTAGACTTGCTCCATAGTAATCTGTCCCTAGGATGGTCTTTCAGGGATTCCAATTGTATACTCACCAGCACTGTAACTGAGCCACCACCTTGCTACTAGTTGTCCTCCTCTTCTCTTTCGTTCCACCTTTCCAGCATTAGAGCCTTCTCCGAAAAGCTAGGTCTTTGCATCATATGTCCAAAGTAGGACAATTTAAACCTGGTTGTTTGTACCTCGAAGGAAAACTCTTGAGTGTTTATTTCTTGGTTGCTCACGATAACCTCAATTCTTGTTCTTATGTTGTCACAATTCTTTTTATAAACTTCAGCCACCACAATGTGTTTGTATGACTCATAGTAGAGAAAAGCATGGGATATTTTTCTACCACATCTTCTATGTTGGCCTGAAAGTTCCTGTACATTGGGAAGAATGGATGGTGGATGCATGAAGCCCTGACTACCCAAGGATGCCCATCATGAACATCTGTCCTGGGGAAAAAATGGCAGTAGAATTCAACACTTGCAACATATATGGTAATATTAAGAAAGAGCGGTGATGATAACTTTTTTATATAATTGTTTTAAAACTTATTTCTATCAGAAATCTCTCCAAGTACCAGTCTGAAATCTATTATGAAAAAGAAAGAAGCTGGTTTCCATGAAGGAAGCAACGGCACCAAAAAGAACCTTCAGTTTGTTGGGGTAAATGGTGGGTAAGCATCAGTGGAAGGGTCAAGCTTGCCTTTTCATTTTATAATGCTTTGTTGCATGTGTACCCAAAATGATATGGACATGTCTGATTAAACGTAACTTCGTTTATTCCTCTTCCATTCTCCTGTGGATTAGATCTCGGTTAAAAGTTGCCAAGAAGCAATAAAGAGGATGTAATTAATAGGACTCATATATTCCTGCTTCGAGCATAATTGATCCCTTGCTTAGAGATTAAGGAGAAGCTCAACCCATGTTTCTGAAAAGACATGAAAAGAAGTGGATCCTGGGCACTGCACTACACTGCAATGGAGAAATGGGCAACAGAGTGGCCAGTGCGAGGGAAGGAGAAGGCTGCTTTCCTCTTTCTTTTCCCTGGTCCTCCTCCTCCCTTTGTGCTGGTCGCTCCATTGCCCATTTCTCCATTGCAGAGCACTGTCCAGGATCCACTTTGATAGTGGGGTGTGAGTAATTTAACAACCAGTTCACTTGAATCAGTGAGAACCGGATGAATCCCACCACTGGCTATGCAGTAAGACAGGTAGTCTTCAGGTAATGATGGCAATTGGGACCAGAACTGGCATTGCTAAGTGATTGGGTTGTAAATGCACGGTCACATGACCACACCACTAAGCAATGACAATTACAGCAATCCTGATTGCCATAATTAAGCAAGGGTTGTGTTATGTCTCCTCTTGGAAATTCAAACGAACAAACACAAGCAGCCGTTTCACAATCAAATCAAACTGTAGGAAATAACAAGATAAAGGCTGGCAGAAACTGTTAGGACTCCCCTTCAAAATTCAAACAAACAGAGATCTCTTTGCAGTAACGTCCTCATTCAAAATAGACATTTTGTTTCTGGCGAAAGGCACCAGCTCAGCTGTGTCCTTTTATACCCATTAAGGCAACGTGCTAATTAACTGGCTTGCCCTTCAGATTAACGTTTCCTGGTTCTGACGTCAATCCACGATCTAACAGTCATCAGATTCAAAGTTTCTTACAGGACCGATCCTTCCAATCACAACAGGTTGCATGGGTTGTTAAGCGTGGATGTCACATGATTGTGACTTCTGATTTTCTGTTGGCTTTCCCAATGACTTTGCTCGTGAGACGTTGGCAAGGAATGTCAGAAATTGTAATCACAGAAATTGTAATTGACTACAGGGACAACGTGACGCCAGAACTCTGAGGGCTGCTCATAAGTCCCTTTTGATCAGCACCATCGCAAGTTTGAATAGTTGTCGAATGAGAAGACACAACATGCTATTGTTGCTACTTTATTGTATATCTTATACATTACTTACTTTATATTATCTTACATACCTTATTCCATACCGTTATTGTATTTAGTCCTCAGTTTAACCTTCTTCCTCTTTAGAAATCCAAAGAGGGGTCAACATAATTTCATTATGATTGTTACCCCATTCTCTCTTATAAGCCATCTTTTTTTAAAAAAAATATGTGGAAGTACTTCAGTCTATTATTCAGAGGACTGAAACTGTTGTACAGTTCACAGTTTGGGACAATTACTATTATAGGTTGCTAACAGTGAGGTCCTGCCAATTTCTGAGAGGCTTAATAGTTCTTGGTTTCCAGGGCATCAGGACCAGTCAATTGCACCTTTCCCCCATGTCAATCAAATCCTTTCTAACTCATCCCTATCCCTTGGTTCCAAAACTAAACGTACAATTTATTCCACAGCAATATTTTCCCCTGGATTTTTTTTTAAAAGGGTAAAGCAAGCATGATTGGAGCCAGTTATCTATAAGAATGACCACATGGAAAATGGAAGTTTACTGCAGTTGGCAATTGACTCAGTCAGTAAATGAACAGAGTCAACAGCTACTGATGGTTGAATGAGTTTATATGTGGCAACCTAGGGGCAAATGGCCATTTATTTCTGCATCAATATACTCAGGATTACAGTAATGCCTTCCTTTTCCTTCCTTAAGAAGCAGAACAATCACTGCTGGAAATAAGAAAGTTGGGCAAAGACAAACATAAAGAGGAAGAAAAAGTATCTGGGGGTGGTGGTGGTTAGATCTAATTTCCTAAGTCAACAACTAATGTAGGTACATGCAACACTAATGGACACCTGGAGATCCTTGGCTCAATGTAGCAAGCACTCCAAACTCCTTTTTAAAACCTTTTAGGTCCCTCTTTATCTGCCTTACCAAAATTTCAGTTTCTAGTCATTGAAGTCTTGTTTTCCCAAATATTGATGCAGTCTTGTCCCCACCCCAAAGATTGCTCACTCCTGTTGTGCCCCTCTTCTTTTGCCATGAGTTCCTGCCTCTAGCAGATTATTTCAAGACTTCATTTGAGCAGAGGAAACAGACTCATTTCTGCATTATAGAATAGCCTGGTTTTATTTAATTGGGTCTTGCTCCTCCTCCATGTCTAGAACAACTTGCTGTGGCCAACTCACCATGGCCATCTTGCCATGACCAACTTGCCAAGGGACAACTCGCTGTGGCACAGTTCCACGCAAGATAACTCAATGCAATAAATGCTATCTGCCATTGTTTCTTTGACATTATTTCCATTTTTGTCAATGGAAATAATGTCAAAGAAACAGTGGCAGATAACATTTATTGCATTTAGTTATCCTGTGTGGAATTGTCTTGGCAAGTTGTCCCATGGCCAATTGCCTGTGGTGACTTGGCTGTGGTGACTCATCCTATTCCCCACAGATCCTCTTCCTATTACCCACAGCTGCTGCTGCTGCTGCTGCTGCTGCTGCTGCTGCTGCTGCTGCTGCTGCTGCTGCTCCTCCTCCTCCTCCTCCTCCTCCTCCTCCTCCTCCTCCTCCTCCTCCTCCATCATAATGACTAAGCAGAAATGAGAAATGGTTATTGTGCCTACTGAAAAAGCAACCTTTAAATGGATGTCTTGGGCTACTTACTAAGTATTAATATAATTTTTCCTGAATCTGGATATAATAGTTGATACAAATCTCTTCTTTGTGATTTGATTAAAGTAGGGATTTGAGCAATCCAGGAAAGTGTGCCAAGACCTTAAATACTAAGGCATGGTTTATTGTGAACCACAATACCATTTCTTTAGATTTGGGGGGAAAGTCTTTGCAGAATAATCTCAATCTGGTTCCATTTAATATCACTCATTAAATAATTAAAACTAGTTCTTCATTAATAAGTAGGCTCATATATGGAAATCACAAATGTCATTTTTGTCATATGTGTGGAAAGGGTTCAAACTATTTTAGTAGAATTAGGTATCTACAAACATAGGGATGACTCAGTTACCTACGGAATTATTGCTTAAATTCACACTAAGGTAAGTCAGTTACCTAAATCAGATGAACCTACTCATCAGATCTGGATTGATGAGAATGAATTTTTTTCTTCAAAAATTTGAACATGCACAGTATTCTTAATCATTGCTCATAACATTTGATTACTTCTGTTTCTAAATTGATGTTTTAGGTGCCATATAGCAATAAATCAAGGGAAAAATTTAATTTTTCTCTCATTACCCTCATTTTTAAATGTACCTCCATATCTAGCTTCAGCCATATGGACCTTTCTAATTACAACATCATCAAACATGTGAGAAAGATCAAGCAAACATTAATTTCTTCATGAAGCAGTAAATACAAGCTAATTCCACGATTTACCTTAAAGTTCTCCTCACACTAAAACCCTTTAATGCAACTTCTTACAATTTATAACAAGTTTTGTCAAGACAATTCTGCTAATAACAATTAATTTGCAAATTCAATTTTCCCTTACGCTTACTTTGACCGCATTTTGCAAACTTTCAGGAACAGCCTATCGTAGCAAAACCACTTTTTAAAAAAGTAACTTACTGGTGTAAGAACTGAAGAACATAATCAATATAAAGAGCATAGTCATGCAAGGGCTAATGGCTTTAAAGTGCTCCGACACAGAGACGGTTTTGCTTTAAAAAAATGCGCAAATGGCTACCAGTGGCTACTTGTCTAGATCTCTATCTGCTAGATGCAACATGCCTTGAATACCAGTTGTTACAAAGCAACTGGGAAACCTTCCCCCTTTCCCTGTTTGGAGTTATCTGAATGTATCTGGTTGACCTTTGTGTGGCCTAGAATACTCATTTCCCACCCCCCAAAGCAAAATTACATGTTATTCAAATATATGCAACAAATGCTTCTTCTATTTACTGTTCCATGAAAAGCAGTAAAAATGAATGCCAGGAATGCATAGATTAACAGGATAAATTTTTATTCAATGTAAAATAGCAGCATTGCTTTGGTATCAGTAATAAATAACAATGAGACCAATGTCTGTCATGTGTATTTCCAGGTAAAACAGCTGGTTTGGCATTAGCAGTCGACTGTGTTTCTGGGAATTAATTTATTCTGTCAATAATCAGGGTAGCTTTTATCCTCTTTTCCTTGGAATTAACTGCCATTCAATTTAGGCTAAATAAACACTTGATTGTACACGCTACTCTTAAGTCATAACATGATTTTTTTTGGTTTTATTTAGTATGTTGGATGAACTTTTTAAAACTTATCGGCTTAGTGCTTTGCGTGAATCCTGGCAATTGTGACTTATTCAACAACTGTGATTAAATAAACCATGCAATGTACAAACTCAGCCACCTAATATTTTTGCATGAGTAGTAGTGCAAACTATTCAAAAAAAGCTCTAGCTGAAATATTACTATAATTCTTCCAAGAGGATTATTTATATCATCTATCTATATCATCTATCATCCCTCTCTCTCTCTCTCTCTCTCTCTCTCTCTCTCTCTCTCTCTCTCTCTTTCTCTCCCCTCCCCGCCCGCACTGCCCATTTCACCTTAAATGACTCTGGGTGGTTTGCAATAAAAACATATTTTCCAAGTCAGCTCTGAGTTCCAAGTTATCGTAATTTCAAATATATATTTTCTTACTATAAGCAATTTAAAATTTGAACAAGAATAAGTCAAAGAACACGCACATCAACTTCTTTGCATCTAAAATCCATATGTCTTGCATAGGATGAATTTTAGAGTTAGACATTTGGGGCTGACTACTTGTTTTGCTTGTCAAAAGAGAAAACTAAGTAATGCCTGGTGTCCATATTCAGTTATGAAACCACATCCAGTGAAGATTCTAGCTGTGAAGAAAACTCTGAAGGTGACTCAGATAATGAGATGGGCAGAAAACATGGGAGCGAAGAGCAAAGTTGGGGGCAAGATGTCAAAGAGGATGAACAATCAACATCTGCAACTCCTCAAAGTGCAAAGAAGGACCGTGATCCAGGAAAACTAGAGGAAACCACACAATCAACAATGCAAGATAAAGTTGAGCGGTAATTACAGCTTTGACTATAACAACAAGTAACCAGTCCATAACCATTTGTGTTTCATAACATGATCTACAGGTGAAATACGTAGTGAGAAAAATAATATGTGTGTTCATATAACGAAAAGTTATAACACTGATGAAACTTATTGATACAGGTAGTCCTCAACTTATCAACATTCATTTAGTGACCGTTCAAAGTTGCAACCGCACTGAAAAAAGTGACATGACTGTTTTTCACACTTACGACTATTGCAGCATCCCTATGACCACATGATCAAAATTTGGACAGTTGGCAACTGGTCCATATTTATGATGGTTGCAGTTTCCCTGGGTCATGTGGGATCCTTTTGCAACCTTCTGACAAGCAAAATCTAATGGGGCAAGCCAGGCTCACTTAACAATTGTGTGACTAATTTAATAACTGCAGTGATTCACTTAACAACATTGGCAAGAAAGATCGTAAAATTGGCAAAACTCACTTGACAACTGTTTCACTTAGGAACAGAAAGTTAGGGCCCAGTTGTGGTTGTAAGTGGAGGATTACCTCTATTCTTTGAACAAATCTTGGGTTTCATATAGAATGTATATTTAAATATATTTAATTACAAAGCCAGCAATAGATTTATAGGCATCTGTTTAAATTAGCAGAGTTAACTTTGGAACAGTGATGCTGGAGGAAAAAAAAAGCCAGATGAGAGAATTTAATTTTTAGCCCGTGGGCCACCTCTCCTCCATCAAAGCCTTGAGCCATTCTGTAGACAATGCCATCATCATATATACAGTAACTTATCAGCAATTCTATAATTCTTGGGAAGGAACTTTTCTTCAAGGAAACCCCTGAGAAACTAGAGCTCTGCTCCTAACTAAGCAGAGTATTGTGTATATTAGAACAGGGGCAAAACTCCCGATCCATGGACCAGATGTGTCATGCACTGACCATGCCCACACCCAGTTTAGCGAAGGGGAGGGAAAAATTCATGATACATCATGTGACACCGCCATGATGATGCAAGTTTGATACTCCTGTATTAGAATAATGAATATACTTTAAGAAAAATCATGCAATCAAATCTAGCATGCCTCACTCCATTGGATTGTGGCTAGTGTTGTTTTGTTAATATACTTATTATCATATATAATTAAGAGCCGTGATGGCACAGTGGTTAGAATGCAGTACTGCAGGCTACTTCTGTTGACTGCCAGCTAGCTGCAATTTGGCAGTCCAAATCTCACCAGGCTCAAAGTTGACTCAGCCTTCCATCTTTACAAGGTTGGTAAAATGAGGATTCAGTTTACTGGGGGCAATATGCTGACTCTGTAAGCCACTTAGAGAGGGCACTGTGAAGTGGTATATAAGTCTAAATGCTATTGCTGTTGCTATTGTAGGGATGCGTTTAAATTCTTGCTGTAGGCCTATTTGCTATTTTGACTTTCTGCTTTGAACTTTTCCAATAAGTCCGGACACTTTTATGTACAAAGAAGGGCCTTAATAGTCAAAGGAACATTGGTAGTAAAGGAATAAAAAGGAAAGTCATTAGGGCTTGAAAGATTCATAATAAGGTCCCTTGTCCATCTATATATTTTTCTAATTCCCAATCACTATTCCTTATGTATTTCTTAGGTAAACACATACCATTATGTTTTTCATTTTCAGATTTAGACCCTCGGGAGATTTTCTCAAAGGGTGCCAGATCTTAAGCAAAAACTTGTCAGAAATAAGGACCACAAAGGACAAATTCCTGGTACTCCAGTTTTTTTTTTCATTTGCATTTTAATCATGTGTTTCTTTTTCTTTAAAACCTTATAATTTACATTTTATTTTATATATGAGTACAAATTTTGAAATTCCTCTTCTCAAAAACCAAATGGAATTTTGGGGTAGAATTTAATGACGAGGTTAAGTGTAAGTGCAAATAACACATTCACAAATATATGTCATCCTTGTGACGGAGTGAATAAAAGAATGTCCTTAGTTCTTTTGTAAAAGAAAAAAGAAAAGACAGTGCATTGCAGATCTCACATTAGAACATGTCGGTCCCCCACCCAAAAGAAAATTAATACAAAATAGCTTTAACTTTTTTTAGCTACAAAGGAAAGGTGAAGCTGCTGGAGATAGCAACATGAGAAATGGATTCAAAAAAATGAGTTCAATGTCTTTTGTTTTTGTTTATTGGACAATGTGTTGCTGAGATCCACAATTGGAGGACAATTTCTTACGTGTACAGTGTGTGCTTGGTATCTTTCAGATAAAGTTAAGCTGCATGCCATATAACTCTTAGCTAGCACAAGTCCTGGTTAAGCCAACTGATACATATTGTTCAAGACAAGGTTAAAATACAAAATACAAAAGTAAAAAAAAATTCCAAAGAACAAAATAAGAAAAAAAAAACACGTAAAACAATCAAAACATTTAAAAAGTGCATCAAAAGAAAAAAAAGACCTATACGCATATTATCCCCTCTAGTTGAGTACTGATTAATATTATTATGTTAGTTCCCACCCGTTGCAGAAAGCCCCCCCCCCCATTTTTATACTATTAAATCTGCAAATTGTTGATCTGTCTTCTATATGTTATGTTAGTGACAAAGTAGTTAACAAGGAAGAACAATAATAGTAAGACAAAACAAAATTAAAGTTGAAAAACTCTGTTGAAATTAACAGAATTACAGAGTTGGAAGGGATCTCCACAGCTCAGGAAACCCTATACCAATACCATTTTAGACCAATGGTTGTCCAATCTCCAGTGTTGGAGCATTTACAACTTCTGGAGGAAAGTTGTTTCACTGATTAATTGTTCTAACTGTCAGGAAATTTCTCCTTAATTCTAGGTTGCTTCTCTCCTTGATTAGTTTCCATCCATTGTTTCTTGTCCTGCCTTCTGGTGCTTTGGAGAATAGGTTGACTCACTCTTCTTTGTGGCAACCCCATAGATATTGGAACACTGCTATCATGTCACCCCTAGTCCTTCTTTTCATTAATCTAGATATACACAATTCCAGCAACTTTTCTTTATGTTTTAGTCTCCAGCCCCCTAATTATCTTTGTTGTTCTTCTTTCACTCTTTCTAAAGTCTCAACATCTTTTTTACATAGTGGCGACCAAAAACTGGATGCAGTATTCCAAGTGTGGTCTTACTAAGACATTCTATATGCCTGTTAACAAACTGTGATTGTCATCCATTTGTAGAAAGTTTACCATGACATTGTGTCTATTGCAAATCATCCCAAAAGTTATAAATAATTCATCCTGGGTCAAATATCCATCTTTGTTTTTTAATAGCATCCCTTGTCAATTGCTGTTTAGTTAAATATGATAAATTCCACCTGCAGAATAAATCTCTCTTCTGATCAAGGTGCCAACAGAAGTAATTGGCAATTAACTGTAATAACTGTAATGTTTAATCTATAAGCGTTAAAAACTGCCTAGAATCTGAATGGATTGAGCCAAAGTATGCATGTCAGAAATAAACAGCATTTTCTGTAACAAGAAATCTGTGTCCTAGGAAGTAGGGAAAACATGTTCTGGTTATTGGCCACATTAGGAAGGAAATGTAGTTAAAGCCAATAAGTTTCAGGATAACTGGTTTTTAAATTGTACATAAATTATTTATCAATCAGCTTTATATCCCACCCTTATTTAGTACAATTCAAAGTTATCTAAATAATCCTCCTATTTTCCTCATAATTACAGCCCTGAGGAGATGGGTGAGCTGAGATAGAGATAGAGAGATTGGCCTAAAGTCATCCAATTCACTTTCATGTCTAAGGGATAACTAGAAATCCTGGTCTCCTCATGTCTGTTCCAGCATCTAAATCACAGTATCATTCACTGGCTTTTAAATATTATGATTTACTTATCTGGTAGCAATTAGTTAAAAAAAAAATATCCAGGGTTCTTAATCTTAGGGGCTACATCAAGGAACAAAATAACTGAAAGAATGTAAAGCTATCAATTTAGAAGAATTAGGTGTGGGTGTCAAATGAACAGCGAGTGTAAAGAACTTTCCAGAAAAAAAATGAAAAAAGAGACAGAAATATTTCTAATAATTTAATTGCCACAATAGAGCATGAACCCACTTCCATAATTAGCTAGATATGCATGGTTTATTTATTTATTAATTAAATTTATATGCTTCTCATCACACTGTTGGAGAGACCCTGGGTGTCATATTAAAATCCATGAATCTGAAATAGAGAAATACAGTAGTTGCTTAAATATGTATTCTGATATATGATACAGCTGAAGAGACAACTCTTGGACATATTCCCCTAAGAATTTAATGAAAGGAACATTCTAGTAAAAAGTAGCAAGTAACCCAGTTACTTCAGATACAATATTATTCATAGCTTTGATATAAAGCAATAGATTTTCCCTAATAAATGAAAATCTATTTATTTCCAAGAGGCCAAAGGGAAATTCTTGTGGTTTGGGTTGGGAGCGAAAAAAATACAAACATGGTTGGATAGTTTACCTACACTGTTAACCTAACTCAGTTCCTGATCTTTTTAGAGGCATGTGTTGAGCACTGTCTGTCAGGAGTGGTTCCGGATCTCGAGCAGGAAATCATCCTCCCCTGGAATTGTTGCAGCTTACCTCCAGGAGATTGAGATGGTTCATCCCCATCTTCAGAGTGTCATTGTCAATTTAGCCGACGGAAATGGCAACACAGCCCTTCATTACAGTGTTTCACATTCTAACTTTTGGATTGTGAAGCTTCTTTTAGAGACAGGTAAGAATCCTTAATTTAAGCTTTGTTTCCACTGGCTGGGCTTTGAAAAATCCCACTGAATTGTCTATGGAGATTCTCAGTCATCCAGGTCATGGCTGCCCCAAAAATGTTTTTTTTCTTTTCCAAGAGGCAACTTGGACTTTTTGTTTTTTCTTTGAAGACGTTTCCCTTCTCATCCAAGAAGCTTCTTCAGCTCTGACTGATCTTTCCATTCAATACCATGCAGTCAGAGCTGAAGCTTCTTGAATGAGAAGCGAAACATCTTCAAAGAAAAAACAGAAAGTCCAGGTGCCTCTTGAAAAAGCATCTTTAAGTCCCATCGAATTGGCCTTTTTCATTCCATTTTATGCCTGGTACAAACTTCAAAGATGAAAAATGACCAATTGTGAAAAATAGCAAAATGTGAATCGTCTCAATCCCTCCCCTACCTTTCATACTCATTTCCCAAATGTTAGACCTGTGTATTTTGCCTCATGATTTTGTGACACATATTTTGGTTGTCATTTTGGTGGATGTTTTACTAAGTTTCTTTTCCTACCTGGTATATTGTACATGGAAGAAATCAAAGGCTATTTATCTTTTTGTTGTCTCTCATCCCCGTCTCATTTATTATCACATTCTGTCCTTAGCCTTTAGGTGTTAAGTCTTTAAAATTAGAGTTTTTTTAAAACAAATATTTAGCAGTAGTAGAGAACAAAAAGTAAAAAGAATAAAATCCAAAGAAAGTTATAATGCAAATATAAACATTCATCAAAAATGCAAAAAGTTTAAAAATCAAGAGAAAAAACAAACTATACTCAATATATTGTTATAACACTTAAGAGCTACAATTCTCTCTATATATATATGTTTATGTTAATGTAAATATTGTTCAAGTGTGTACCTTTCTAATACATATATAACTATCATTATTTTTTAGGTTTTAGCTTTAGGTTTTAATTTCAGGTTTTTCGACTTATGTTATACCTAGAATTTTTTTGCAAGTCGAGCAGCCTAACCAAACAAATAAATAATCATGAGGGGCTTCTCTTATTATATAATATAATCCTAAGATTCAGTAGACTTGACAATGTGGACATATAATGGAACTTTTATAATATAATTTGGTTGAAAGTTGTTTCATACTTTAGGCATCAAACCTCATTCCCTATTTATCTGTCAGCAGCTAAAGGTGAATGAAAGTTTTTAAATATTTTATGGCATTCAGTACATTGACTATAGGAGTGCATACAACAAAAATACATATTCTGTGTCAAGAGTTCACCTATTTCTTCATAAATAGAAATTGTTACTTGAAAGCTTTTAAGATTATAAGAGAAATCTATAATTCAGCAAGAATAATTTCATACAAGGGAGTGATCATTAGATCAAATAAGAAAAGAGTCTTGTAAAATTCTCATCCAATAAACAGGAATGCCTTTTCTACTGAGAAGAAAGAAGCTTTGTTGCTATTGAGTTGGCATGCCAATCTACAAAATGTCAGAAAAGTGGCATATTATCATGTGTCTATAAATCAATTGTTGCGCTAAAACTTCATAACAACTCCAGAAGATTCAAACAAGGCTGTTTTGTTCTCTCAGTAGATTGCCCTCGGGCAATTATGTTCAGTGCTACACACAGACTTTAAATACTAAATTGTTTCAAGTCTTTATGAAAAAAAAAGGAAGAACAATCTGACGTCCTAGTAATGATGCGAATCTTAAAGGACACCCTGTTTATTTTCTTCTCTGACTGACAGCAAGCAAATGTATTTATCAACTTTGCTGCTTGGGATAATTTCTTAGAAAAACATGCATGCTGCTTCTGAACTTCCTTTTTCTACCTCTTTACTCACTATAGTATGTCCTTCTGCTCTTTTACTCTGCCTCTTTCTTTGATGAATACTACCCTGAAAATTAAGATTATTTGGAAGTTTAGCAGTTAAAAAAAGGATGGTTGGATGGATTGCATGGATGATGATTAGGACACTCTGTATTTGATAGGAGCACAGGAAATATGTGGAAAATTTATACATTCAGTTAGACACGATGGATAAAATCTATTCTAAGTCCTAAATAATTTTGATGGGTTGATTTTTTTCACTCAGAGTCCAAGTGTATTGCAACATATTTTGAATGAAATTAAATTCTGTTTACTATCTCAGCACATTTTCTTGGTTGATATTCAAGTTGGCATTAATTGTCTAGACAATTTTGCATACTACTGACCTCTGCTGACCAGAGATAAAAATGTCATTATTATTTAGAATAATTAATATATATATATATATATATATAATTACCTACCAGTAACATGAATTATCCTTCCTTGGATGAGACTAGAAGAATCAAAAAAATCTTCATTAAGCTATTAATTTAAGATGATTTTTTTATGCTTATACCTGTTTTCTGTGAATATTCTTGATAAAACCTACCTTGTAAATCAACTATCCTAAAACAGAAGCATCAGAAAGGGCTTTATTGATTAGTGCAATTATCTGTACATCTTCCTGGTTGATGTAATGAGAAAATAGATTTATAGAAGGTGTTATGATGAAGAATGCATCCTAAATTTAGGTCAGAGAGGAGTGCAGCCATGTAACTCAGCATAACTAAAGGTCCTGCTGCCAGTGCTGGCCAAGATTGAGAGGGGTTGTCATTCTCTCTCTCATTCGGTGCAATAGAAGTGAAAAAATATAATCAATCAGTTTTTGTCTATGTACATGCTGAGAACAAAGACTATTCTCCTTACATACGTTATACTGGAATGTGTATTAACCAGAACCAAAGCTGCCTGTTGATCCTGGAAGGAAGGAGACACAGAACGAAAAACAGGTTTGGTCTTTTCTATGGTGTGAAGCAGAGGTGGTATTCAGCAGGTTCTGACCAGTTCTGGAAAACTGGTAGCGGAAATTTTGAGTAGTTCGGAGAACCGGCAAATCCCACCTCTGACTGGAGATTTTACAGTATCCTTCCCCTGCCATGCCCACCAAGCCACGGCCAGAAGAACCGGTAGTAAAAAAAAATTGAATCCCTCCACTGGCAAAGGGCATCTATATATGGGTACAAATAATGGACATTGTTTTTGTTAGAAGGTGCTGGAGTCTTCTTAGAGGATCAGAAAGTAGAGGTTCTGGGACAGCCCACAACAAGGTCACCCCATGTTGTAGTTATTAGATATCCTAAATAGCTAATATTCTTGCATCTTAATGCATTGTTTTTGTAAGTCTTGTGACCATTTTCAGATGATATAACCTTCTGGGGTTTGGGATTCTACTGTAGTTATGCATGTAGTGAAAGATACTTTGTTGCATCTATCTCCCATTGCTTTGGCTCCTAATTTAATTAAGCATTTCCCCACAATGTGTAGGACCTCCTTAGAAGAATGTAGACTTCCTATTACTACTTGTGCTGTTCTTGCTTCTTTTGAGTCCTGTTGATTCTTGTTGGTGGAAACCTTGCCGGCAGACACATCATGGAGCTTCTTGAAGATACAGTGGCCATTCAGCTGAAGTGAAATCTCTTCCTCTCTCTCTACTAACAGAGTTATTCAGTGGAAGAGCAGCTCAGTTGAGAAGTAGTTAATTTCCTCAGGCCACTTAGGTATGGGAGGATTAGATTTTGAGACTATAAATAAATCAATTGTGGAAAGTCTCCTTCTCCAATGACTGACATCAAAACCTTTGTTTTCTTCTTCAGGTATTTGTGATGTGGATCATCAAAATAAAGCTGGGTATACAGCAGTAATGATCACTCCACTAGCATCAGCAGAGACTGAGGAAGAAATGGAAGTAGTCAAGAAGCTCTTGCAAGAAGGCAATGTCAATATAAGGGCTAGCCAGGTACATTGAATTTATGGCTAACGCCAAAGGCTATTTTTATATGATCATGTTCTCCAATAATATTTCATTATTTGTGTATTATTAAATCATGATATACACATATCTATCTAGGACAAAGAAGTCCAAAATAAAATCTGAAAAAAAACCCAATAAACACTTTTTAAAATATAGTAGCTAAGAGAACTGAACAGGATTACAGTATTTCGAGATGTTTTGGTGTTAAATGATGAAACTCACCAGGTGAGAAGATCCTTCTTTAGTTAATGAAAAACAGCATTAAACTTTCATGAGTAGATTTAGAGACAATTTCATTACAAGGAATCTAATCACTGAGGGGCCAGTACTAAAGAGTTCCTTCATTTGGAACATAAAATGTGAAGAGCAGGAATCAACGAAGACTTTAAATTGTTAAAGTAGAAATGAAGTACACTAAATTAGGTATTTTAGGAATATGTAATCCTAGGTGGATTGGAATTGGTCCATTTTACAAATTGCAAAACTTGCTAAATGCATTTTCTGCAGAGCTACTGATAAGTAATTAGAATGTAGAAGTTTAAGAAGTGGAGGAACTTAGAATTACATCAAGGTTTACATTGGTAAATGCCATAATGCTACAGAAAGGTTTTGTGGAGATACTTTTTGCTCAATATGTGCTTTAAATCATGTAAACACATATTCTATTTCCAGTCCTAGACATTAACAGATGGATTAACACCAACATAAATAAAATTGGCCACATAACAATAATACAAAAAAATCAGAAGATGGAGGTGCAATCTACTGAAAGTTTTTATAAGTACAGATTGTGAAACAGACCACAAATATATAGATATACCTTATACAAATATATAGATTATACAGCTACACACACACATACACATGTTATACCTATATATTTGTGACCTGAAATCTCTTTGAAAATTAAAGAGATTAGCTATTCCATCAAGATTTGATTTGGAGAATATACAATTGAATAAAATGGTATATATATTACATTACATTACATTTCATTATATCATATTATAAATTTTATATATATGGGAAGAGGTAGGCACTGTGGAAACAGAAGTAGGGAAAAAAGCAAACTGACCAAAATTTCAAAGAAGGAAAGATGCAAGTGGTTTCATAACAAGCTATCACACTCAGGAAAAAATCAAGAATGAATAGTTTCTGCGGTAGGAATATATGACAATTGAACATAAACTTTCAGCATCAAGTCAGAAAAGACCCAAAAAGAAATTGAAACCGATAATGTTAACAATAACAAGATTAAAAAAAAGAAGAGACATTTTAAATAAGAATTTTAAGAAAGGAATTGCAGGAACATTTACTGTCAAAGTAGGATTTACACAAAGTAATCCAGAAAAAGCATCCAAGAAATGTGGTTGAAGGAAAACAGAAAATCTGTACAAAATAGTTTACAAACAGGATTGTAGAGTGAGAGATATATTTATACACAGGGAATCTATTCTATTCACTTGAAACCGTTGAAAGTTACATATGATGGGCAGTAAATTTTTGGTAAATAATAACAATGCATGTACAGGGTAGAGATGAAATGCTAACTAACTGTAGGAGAGGGGGCCTTAAATTGCCCAAATGCCAAGTACAGAGCAAGAGAATATAACCTGGAGTAACTTGGAGATTGGAAAAAAATAAGTCTATTTATCTATGCCAAATGAAGAAAGATGCAAGACAGCATGCAGATTCTCAAATCATTGCACACTTTCCTGATGCAAGCAAACTTTAGATTAAAATCTTATAAAAAAAAAGAATAAAACTAGATATGGAAAGAAAAATGCCAAATGAAGATGCTGAAGAACAGGAAGTCAGATGCCTAGGGTAAGATGAATATGGAGGGAGAGAAAGGGAGAGAAGGTTATAATGTAATCTATGTAACGCATTCTGAAGGACTGCTTGGAGATTGGTATTTTACCAATGAGGGTAAGTGAATGAGTATGGTATAGCAAAATTGAGTACATGGTGTGTAACCCTCATTAATGGTATTTTCTAGGGTGGACAGACTGCCTTAATTTTGGGAGTGAGCCATGACAGAGAAGATATGGTGAAAGCATTGCTGTCTTGCAATGCTGATATAAATCTTCAGGATGAGGATGGCCTATCACCATTAATGGTGGCTTCTCAATATGGAAATTTGGAGATGGTGAAACTTCTTTTATCTCATCCAGGTTGTGATCCTGCATTAGTGGACAAGGTGAGAACAAATAGACGTTTCCCACGTCTTTTGGACTATGTGCCCCATATGAGTTCTTACTTACATAATTATTTGAACTAGGGCTGTTTCCATAATGACATATATTTGAATTGGTACCCAGTTGGATGAAATCGGTTAGGCAGGCAAAAAAAAAATACTTATGCTTTTGATTTAATAAAAATGTGGTTATTTTAAAAGATTTGGTGTGGAGGTCTTTTTGGTTTAAGATTATCCTAGTTTTAACAAGCGTTCCAAACCTGGCATTATTGACAATCAGTTTATATTTACAATTTTTTTTACAGAGACAGACATACTATATTTTCACAATATTATACTGTGTGCTTTTTAAAGCTGTTTGTTTCTTTTTGTGTTAGTTATAAAACTAAAAACAAATATAAAAAATCCTGAAGTTTGAGACATATTGAAAAACAAGCTTGCCTGATATTAACCTCAACAAGTTTCAATTTAAGAGTTTGAAAACCACTAAAATGGGTGGGTTTTTTTTTCTTTAGCATGCAGACATTCTTAATGAAATCTATGCTGTTCAGATAAATCTGCTCTTGATTTGACTGTTAGATCCTTTAAATGGGAGTACATGTAACACAAAATTGCATAAGGGGTATAGTTTTTACAAGTAATTGTACTCAGTCACAGACTGGCGTGAGTTTGTGTAGATATAATACCTATAAACACCATAATTATACGTGCACCAATAATTTAAATCACATGGTGTAATGGCAGCACAAGAAGTAAAACAAGCATGCTGGCAAACTATTTTTATAGTATCTGTAGATTAAAAATTCATGATATAACAAGATTGAGTATGTGGATGTGTGCTTTGTTTGAAAGTACAGATTGCAAACTAAAATTCTCAAATTCTGAAGAAATTTGAAATTTGAACCAAATTTAGGAACCTTTACAATGACAATATATCAGTTATTATTTAAGATTTACCAACCTCCTATCTGAATTCATTAACAGGAGGTTGGTAAAGGTCCAGTTCAGTGGACCTAAAATAAAAGATGATGCACATAAAACACTCAGCAAACACAAAGAAAAATATGAATATGATATTTTCAAATATAAAAATATGAAAAATAATAATGAACAATTATTCATATAACTAGACATAGAAATAAATCAAAAGATTTATCTAACATTTTACTATTGGACCATTCTGGCTTCCATATTCTGATACATTATGTTGAGTAACTCTTTGTTTTACACATAGTAAAACATTGGTTTACTGAGCTATGGATGGAATGTCGCTCTAGATTCTTTAAAGTGTATTAATCAGAACTTATTATAAGTGGTCTTCCGTTTTCTGGATGTGAGACCAATTTCTATTCAGGAAAATAACTCAGCTAGACTAAATACACCCCAGCTTATCTTTTGTTCATAGTTTGATTTACACTGGAAAAACTGTTGTTTACTTTCCTGATGGAAACTGAAGAAAAGGCTATAATTAGGTACAGATGAGTCTTATCAAGTTTGGACGCATTGCGAAAGGGCCTGGTTTGGAAGCACAATATGCAAACTAGGTCTAATGCAGGGCCATGATTTATAATGTGCCTGTAATTTCACAAGCACTGAGGCAGCTGGAAACCATCACTATCCTTCTTCACAAATAGCTCATGTTTATACTACATCCAGTCAGTGCTATTGAGATACAGGAGCTGGTCCATTAATTAGTGGCCCATCTACAAGGAGAGGATTGATTTTTTAAAGAGAGCTATGGTTCTGTAAAATCAAAACAAATCAAAGGATTCATCTAATATTTTATTATTGGACTATACTGCTCCTATGTTGTCAAGCATTATGCTAAGGAATTTTGTTTTATTCAGAGTAAAAATTTGGTTTACGTAGCCAATGGTGAGTTGCCACTCTATGAATGAATGCATGTACATACAGGTAGTCCTTGACTTACAACAGTTTATTTAATAACCGTTTGAAATTACGACACTGAAAAAAGTGACATGACTATTGCAGCAATCCTAGGGTCATGTGATTTTCCATTCAGATGCTTGACAAGTGGTCCATATTTATGACAGTTGCAATAACCCAGGGTTGTGTGATCACCTTTTGTGGCCTTCTGACAAGCAAAGTCAATGGGAAAGCCAGATTCACTGAGCAACTGTGTTACTAATTTAGTAATTGCATGGCTTGACTTAACGAACATGGCAGGAAAAGTAATAAAATCGGGCAAAACTCAACAAATTTCCCACTTAGCAACTTAAATTTGGGGCTCAATTGTGATCATAAGTTGAAGACTACCTGTACTTCAGGTGTCTAATTTAAAGTGTAAATTCATACCTGCTACCAAAGACCCAGAACAGATAAAGAGGATGGAGAGAGAGGGAGGGAGGGAGGGAGGGAGGGAGGGAGGGAGAGAAGAGAATTCTTGTAGTTTGAATTATGGGGTCCTGGATGATCTCTGAGCATGATTGCTTTCTAGCAAACTAGGTAATATCATCAGTGAGCATTGATGATGTTATCTAATTTGGTAATGAAATGTCTTCAGGAAAATAACCAAGCACAGAGAGCATCAAGCATCAAGGACTCCACAGTTAGTTGATAGATAGGCGACTGTTCTCACAAAGAAGTACTAATGGGCTTCCTAAGATATAGTAGAAACAAGATTGCTATTCTTTATTCACATGGTTCATATCCTAAATATGCAGTTTTTTAAAGTATGGGTAATCTGGGAAAAGTAAAGAGTTTAGGAGAGCTGGCATAATAACCTCCTGTTTTTTGTCCTTCATCATGTAGGCTGGCAATTCTGCTTTGTCCCTGGCTTTGAAATCTGCCCACATGGAAATTGTAGAGTTCCTTCGGACCCACATGCATCATACTCAATCTCTGAATACATAAAACGAAATGGACAAAAACCTGTATCTGATTGAATGAGAAGTTCATAACAAAAGACTTATTGTATTAGCCAACTGTGTAACCACTTTATATGCCAATGATTTAGCTGATAACCACTGATGTATCTACTTACAAAAAAAGGAATTATGCCAATTATTTGCATACATTCCTCATGAATGAATCACTCTCCTCAGCTGCTTTTGTAGTCCTGATTTATGACCACTGCAACAAATAAGAATTAGATTATTGTATTGCTTTTATAGTAATAGTAATATTCTTTTTTTTTCAAATTATTGCCTTCTTAAGGGAGAGATTTCAGCCTATTTTTTTATTTTTCAAAATACCTGTGAAAAACATTAAGAAGCTACCTTTGAAAAGCACTAAGAAGCTATTTGTTGACATACGTCTTCAGTTGCTTAGAATGATGGCAACCCATTTATAAGGATAAAATGCTTCCAAAAATTTTATGAACATACCAAAGCTATTCAGTGAAGATATTGGTAACACTGACCTATTTTGACCATATATTTGCATAATCTGATACTAGATCATTTTATATGAATTATCAGGGTACCACGATCCAGTAAAGCAGATAAGCTAGTTATAGTCTTCCTGCAAGGTCACTCCTCTTGATTCTCTTACTGGCTTCACCTTGATGTTGCCAGAGTTTACTTAATTCTAGAAACCAATTCATTGTTGCAGAAGGGAATCGGTTAAGTACCAGATTTTGTTCTCGCTAGAGAAGGGACTACTTAAGGAAATAGTTTGGGCCTGATCTCAATGCTGTCTTGAGGATCCTTATTAGTATAAATGGTATTGAAACTCTTATGCCCAAGAATTGCTAGATCAGAGGTCCCCAAATCCCAGATGATGGCCCGTTTGGAACCGGGTTATGCAAGTGGTGGGCAAGTGCATGTGCACTCACTTGCCACTTGCGTGGAACCATCATGTTCTGACCCAGCTCCCAAGCACGACAAACTCTCTGTAGTTAAACAAATGTTCCCTTTATTAGGAACACCAGCAGCCTCAGCAAAAGGTCTCTCACAGCAGGCTAATAAGTCTGTCCAACAGGGAGATAAATAGTTGTCTTCCACACCTATTCATCTTTTATCCCCAGAGCTGGTGTGGGGCTTTGCTAGCAGTGGTGGCTCTTCCGTCCCAAGGATTGGCCCATAGATTTCCACTCCTCTCCTTTGCACATCTGCGCATCAGGCACTGGAACCAGCTGTTCCTCTTCTTCCTCATCAGCCACCTCTAGATCTGGGAGCTGTTGACTCTCCATATGAGGGCTGATGGACAGTCCAAGCTCTACTTCTGTCTCTATCTCTGACAGCTCCATTCCCTCTTCCCACTTGGAGCTCTCAGATTCCCACTGACTCCCACACCGACTCCTCAACTGATTTGGCTGCTGGAGGGGCTGGCAGCTGACAGGCCACAACACATCGCCTTTCCCTCCCTCCCACTGCCACCATCCCCACTGCTGGTCCACAAAACTAGAAAAGGTGGGGACTGCTGTCCTAGATGTCATGATATACACTATCCTTTAAAAAGCTTCTATAGTGTTCCCATTTTGTACAAATGGAGAAAGTGGAGCTGGTCTCGCAAGAAACCTATTGTGAGTGCTCTGGATCTAGTGATGAAATCTAGCCCTTTGTTGTCTTTCATATTCTGTATTTACAGAGGATAACGTAAAATTGGATCTGTTCTTTGCCAGCCTTGACAGAAATCATTAGCTATTAGTATGCTAATTTTAGGAATGCTATATTATCATGCTATGCTTTTCTGTCCATGCTAATAGCTAATGATTTCTGGTAAGGGTGGCAAAGAACAGATCAAATTTCATGTTATCCACTGCAAAGCTAGACATAATGGGCAGATAAACAAAAAGACATGGAATTAAAATGTAGAGACCCCCGTAGTGAGTTCCTACAGCCCCAGAAAAACCAATTTATTGAATTAGCTGAGATAGAGACCCTGCTTTTAAAAGAAATGTCTAGTATTTTGCTCCCATGGCAGATATTTCCAATTTAGCTATAAGCACAGTAGTAAAGCAATACTTATAAAATAGATAGTGCATGCTATTTTTAACTAGCTGTTTCAAAACAAAATTCAGTTATAGTAATTTGTAATTTGTGCTATTTATTAGTATTGATTTTGGTAGATATCAGTGATCAGTGCTTTCTTAGCACGCACTAAATATAGATTAAGATATCCTTTACATACTAATCCAATTGCCTTGACATATATGCCTGTAAGAACAAGTATTCAAAACTCAGTGTATCAGACAGAGCCTGGAAAATAGATTCAAATCTACTAGTAAACTTAAGGGGATCACCAGGTCAATGATTCCAAATGATTTAACCAAAATGAAAATAAATGCTTCTTCTAAATTAGGGAATTGGTTTTTTTTTAAAAAAGGAAGAATAGGAGTGAAGTTGTGTACAAACTCTAGTTTTGACATTAAAAAGAAATGCATGGGCTCATTTAAATCTAATTGAGCTTAGCTTGTAATAAAAATGTAAGCCCATATAAATAGCAATAGCCTGCTTATTTTTTATTTAGAAAAATACATGAATGTATCCAGTCCAAATGCACACATTATTTCTTATATATTAAAAAGCACAAAGACTTTGTTCTCTGTCCCTTTGGAATTATTATATGCACAGCACTTTTATGTCATGCAATTTGTATTTGATCAAAATACTAATGAACTATATTTTTCTCTGGAAGCTTGAGGACAGCTTTGATACAAGTACTGTTTTTTCTTCCTGGGTTTCTTTTTTGGTAAGTGAAGCACAAAGAATTTCCTTGCAAGGATGATTATTGTTTGAGGTATTTTCACAGTTGGGTTTTGCAGAGTCTGTCTCATTATGACTTCATGTAAAAGGTGCTTTTGGGCAAACATCTGTTCTTTGGTTTCACTAAACAAAACTCTTGGAAATCCCAAATTTGGGGAAATGAAATGCGATGTAATAATTTAGCTGATTCTACTTACTGAGTATCCTACCCATAGGGTAGCTGGAACATACAGGTAGTCCTTGACTTACAAACATTTATTTAGTGACTGTTCAAAGTTACAACGGCACTGAAAAAAAACTGACAAATTTTGGACTCAATTGTGTTGGTAAAGTCAAGGACTACTCGAAACCACTGTAGTGCATAGGAGACAGACTTTTCTTGATCTTCCATAGTTCATACAATAACTTTCAAACATACATTCCATAGTCTTAAAACTATGCAGGCAACTCCTCAGCCCCCACATCTTGCCCTGTGGATCACTTAAAGTTCAGGGTGATGAAAAATAATATGCAGTGTGCATACTCTTAGTGATTCCGTCTCAGCTTTGGCCTGCAAGTGTAACATTTGAAATGGCTCATTTGCTTTGCATGTATGTCATATCATTTTTGCTTAATTTGAGGGGGGAAGGAGGTTGAGTGTGCTGTAATTCTATTGTTTTCAGGCAAATAAATTGAATGGAAAAACAACCATTTACTGGCAAATACTTTTTGAAAACCTGCTGTGTTTTAGAAACGTGGTTGAAGGAAACACAGATACTACTTCTCAAAGAAATAAATTACATGTCTTTCTAGGGATGTGCAAGACCTTGTGGTTGCAACACTGCAAGAAACATCGGGATTCCTTTTAAAAGGAAAACCTCATGAATATGGCTGTACAACACCTTAGAAATAATTTGGAAACGATAACATAACATGCATGAAATTGTTTAACTTTGTCTTTTGCTATTTAAAGCAGCTACATCTTTTCCTAAGACACCCTCTGCCTAAGTTTCTTTCTGTATTTCTTTGTCTTCTCCCTTATTTCTGATTCATTTGAATGTTATAAACAGAGACACATTTTATTTGGACTTGGGAACTGTGGTCTGTTATAATTACAGATGGGAGGTCTACTTAAGATCAAGGCATATAGTCCTAGAGAGATTGATATTGATCAACCCAGAATTCTCTGAATTTGAACATAACAAGGATCAATGGCTAATGCAGCAACAGGACTGAACCTAAGAAGAAGAGAAGTCTCTAATCTCTTCTCCGAGGGGTTATACTTCTAAATCGGCCAGCCATTTTAATGCAATGGCTTGGTAGTTATCACTTCATAATCCTGCTTGTGTTTTGTTTCAACTTGATTCCTGGTGACTCCCAGACAAGTCCATGCAATTTTGTTGGTCTCATTTTTGAAAAGTGGTAGTTTGTTGCCACTTTCTTCAGGTTAAGAGAAAGTGACTAGCCAATGGTCATCCATGGGTTTTATGTCTAAAGCAGAACTTTCCCTGCTCCTAATCCATCGTTTTAATCCCCAGATCAAATTGAGTCACCTTACTGACAAATAAAAGAAGAAGAAAACATGTCAAAATTAAAGGCACACCTTGTATGGAGTTTTGAGGTGGTGACAATAATAAATCAACCTTTTCTTCTTCAACAGATATCTCAATTGCACAGACAGTGTGAGAATCCAATGTTATTAAAAATAAAGAGCTAAGATACTGCAGAATACCCTTTTAGCTTTACGTAGTCTCATATAGAAGGCATTCAGAGACCAAGGAAATAGTATGCCAAGCTTCTCTAATCACAAAATAATTCTGGGGAGATCCTAAATTTATTTATTTATTTATTTAGTCAAACAATTATTGAATAACAGGTATAAGTATAGACATGGTTATAAATACATGAAATGGATACAAATAAGAAGAAAAAAAGAAACAATGGGACAGGGATGGTAGGCACGTTTTGGTGCGCTTATGCACGCCCCCTACAGACCTCTTAGGAAAGGGGTGAGGTCAATAGTAGACAGTCTAATGTTGAAGATTTTGGGGTTTGGGGAAGAAACCACAGAGTCAGGTAGAGTATTCCAGACATTGACTACTCTGTTGCTGAAGTCGTATTTCCTGCAATCAAGATGGTATCACTCTGCCTTTAATTTAGAGGAATTCTATTGTAAAGTGGTTTCAAATTGCATAAAAACATACAATTTACTGAGCGTGTACAAGGGTAACTTTAATTCACAAAAGGACTTCTATTTTGATTATAAAATGGAGATTTCTCTGTAATAGGCTCTTAGAGAGAAGATTGAAGAAGAAAGCAAACTAATAAATGAGTCCTTTCATATTTTAGTAAGGTAACTATGGTTCACTATGGTTACCCAGAGCATCTTCAGCTTAAATCATATTTGAAAACGAGTTTTATTTGAAATATTGAAAATGTCCATCCTTTGACCTTTCTGTGCTACGATACTGTAATACAATTAAGACTTTTCTCCAGCAGGCGGTCACAACAAGGCATCTGTGAACTCCATGGCAAATTGCCATTTAAATTAGTCATACGAGACTCCTGGCAGAGTTGCTCTTTTAAATTTTTTATGAGTATTCCATAATTGCATTGAGAGGAAAGTTTATAAAGAGCTTCAAGAATGCCAGGATTGATAAAAGCAGCCGCAGACATTGAAAAGTAATCAATGCAAAGCTGAAAACTCTGAAAGCTGAAGCAAACTATATCAGTCTGAAAAATCAGCAGGGTTTTCAAAAGAAACGTATCTTCTATATTTGAAGTTAAAAAAAGAAAAGCAGTGACCACAGCCAGTGTAAAAAGTTCCTTTAAAAATGTTAAGCCCTTTACTAAGCTGCTGCTGTTAAAAATAAATTAGAGCTAATCCTCTACTTACAACCATTGATTAAGTGATCATTACAATGGCACTGAAAAAAATGACTTATGAATGTTTTTTCACACATACAACCTTTTCAGCATCCCCATGGTCATTTGATCCAAATTTGAAGTATTGGCAATCAGCATTTGTATTTACAACAGTTGCAGTGTCCTGGTTTCACCTTTTCCCACCTTCTGACCAGTAAAGTTAATGGAGAAGTCAGATTCACTGAACAACTGTGCTACTAATTTAACAACTGCAGTGATTCACTTAGCAACCGTGGTGAGAAAGGTCATAAAATAGGTCAAAGTTCACTTAACAACTGTCCTGGTTAGCAACAGAAATGTTGTGCTCAATTGTGGTCATAAATTCAGGACTACCTGTATAGTTTTAGTCATCATTAAACTAAACTTCTAGCACAGGGCTGTCAAACTCAAGGTCCGTGGGCTAGATCCAGCCCACGGGGTGCTTAAATAGCAAAGAACCGGCCCGCAATGCCTCTGTTAGTAAAAACAGCCCCCCCCCCCCCGCACCCCGTTTTGGCCAGCAAAGTGCTGGAGGTTGTCCAGGCTGAAAAAGGGCCGCACCTCGTTTTGGCCAGCAGGGTGCTGCAGGAGGCATCTGTCCCACCTCCCCCCACCCCTGGTTGGCCTGTGGAGGAGAACTACAATGCTGATCCAGCCCTTGAAGAAATCCAGTTTGACACCCCTGTTCTAGCACGACTGTACTGCCATTGGTAAATCAAAGATTGGGCAGGAGGCATTCTCTTCTCAACAATCTCTTTCCCTACCCTTTCTTATGTTTCTTTCCCTTTTTTTTTTCTTCCCTGGATTTGCCTCCCTAGTATATTTATTCCAGTGCCAGTTTGAGAGTGTGTGATGGATTCCATAGATTTGCTCCAAATTACTGAAGTATTGGATTCAGAAGCCCAGGATTTTACATTTCTTTTCAAAACCTTGAACTAACCCTTGAATTCATTACTGGGCTCCAGGAAGGAAACTAGTTTCATTTCATCCCAGAAGGTCTTTTCATCTCACATTCAATTATTTGTGGTCATGTTTGAATTACTACTACAAGGCAGGCACAATCTGTGACCAATCAAATTGAGCTAGAGGTTGATTCTACACAACCAGAAAGGAAAAAGGTGAGCTAAACAATACTCACTCCAGCTTGATATAAGGGTGGGGGGGGGGAGGGAGGGAAGGAGGGAGGGGGAGAGAGAGAAAGGATTCACAAGTTATAGATTTACCAATTAAACAAAACCGTAACTGTTCTGAAAAAAAAAATTACTGGTATATTTGCCCTGGTTTTCAAAAACTCAGATCACAATGCGTTCATTTCTAATAACATTGATATAAGAAAGCTTTCAGTTCCTCGAAATTTACCCTTAAAACCAGAATCCACAAGTTTCTATTAGAATTAGAATTAGAAGAACTTTATTGTCATTGTACAAGTACAACGAAACTGTGGATGCACCCCAGCAACTGTTCTCAATACTATAAAACCAAAGCACTTAAAAATGAAGATAAGAAAAATAGAGTAGCCATGTCTCCATTTGCAATTTGAATATACATATGTATCCCTATCTACCATGTTAGGCTGCTACAGAGTTCAATCACAGAGACATCTGAAAGAATGGATTACTCTGAGAATCCTTGAAATGAAATGGAACGTGTAAGGTGGAAGTGAAGGGAGACAGTGGCAGAATTTTCTGCAGACTACTGGAACTATGGGAAAGTAAAGACATATGCAGTACTTTCATTTAGTGAATGGTTACAATGGCACTGGAAAAAGAGATTTCTAATTGTTTTTCCCATTTATGACTGCTGCAGCATCCCCATGGTCACATCATCAAAATTTGTGTCTTGGCAACTGGTATGTATTTATGACAACTGCACTGTCCTGGGATCTTGTGATCACCATTTGTAACCTTCCCAGTTGGCTTCTGACAAGCAAAGTCAATGGGAGAAGCCAGTTTTGTTTAATGACCACATGATTCACTTAACAACTGGAGTGACTCATTTAACAATTGTAACAAAAAGGTGACAAAATGGGGCCAAACTCACTTAATAACTGCCTTGATTCACAATAGAAATTTTGCACTCAGCTGGGGGAGGACTGCTTCTACAAACTTTTTTTGCCAGGTGTAGACCCTGCATTGGCTTGTGCGGAGGAGACCAAGAATCTAATTTCTTCAGACCTGCTTCAAACATTCTTCTTTTTCAGCATTTCTAAACTGGAAGTTTTTCAACTTTGAAGCGAGCCAAAGCTGGAGGTGTTCGTGAGAGGGAGAACAGGAGGAGGAGGAGGCAGGCGGAGATTCCTGGCCTCAGATTTCTTGCACCAAAGAAGATATTATTCTTTCATTAATTGAACGAATCCAAATATAGACATATTAAGAATAGACGTGCAAACATTAGTTGGACTTTAAAAAATTGGAACAGCCATCAGCTAGGAAAAAGAAGAATCACACCCTGCACATACTGACAAAATGATTGAGTGTTGGACAAAACATAAGAAGGCCGTAACAGCTATTTCAACGATGTTGAATATACAACATATTTATCCATTTGAACAGCTGCTGCCATTAGAATGGAAGAACTTGCAAAATATGCTGGGGGTTTACCTAAG